TTGGTAATTTCATATATATAACACATTCTGGTCACAGTCGAGTCGCCACCTACCCTGTCCTATCCCCATCCCTTGCCCCGAGTCTCTCTTCTCATCGGGTGCTCCTCCCTCCCACTATCATTTTTTTAAAGGTTTATGTTTATTAATTTTAATCATGTGCGCGTTGGGGTGGGGGGGTGCACGTGCCAGTGCCTGTGGAGGCCAGAAACTGCAGTTACACCGTGGACGGGGAACTGAGCCTAGAACCTCTGCGGAAGCGATGAGCCCTCAACCATTGAGCCATCACTCCAGCACCGCACTGTCATGAATTTGGTTTTGTGGTCCACGGAGTTTAGGTAGGGCTGCATACACGGACATGGTGGCAGCATAGACAACTCGCCACTAAAGACAGTGGCTGTACCACTAAGGACAATGACTCCCACTCCCACAATAACCGCCAGCTGCCAATCACACCTGGAGGAGGGGCCAGACTCCCATGGACCCCTCCCTCATCATCAGCTGCCAATCACACCTGGAGGAGGGACCAGACTCCCATGGACCCCTCCCTCATCATCAGCTGCCAATAACACCTGGAGGAGGGGCCAGACCCCCATGGGCCACTCCCTCATCATCAGCTGCCAATAACACCTGGAGGAGGGGCCAGACCCCATGGGCCCCGCCCTCAGCCATGATGCGTGTTGATGGGTTCAGTCCTGTGCAGGTCCTCCCAGTTACTTTGAGTTCATGAGTGTGGCAAGCACTCAATGCCTAGAGTATAGCGTTCCGCAGCCCCACAACCTCACTGTCGGGCCCTTCCATCCTTTCTGCAACACGAGGATCTCTTGAAGGACTGGGTGTGAACCAGAACTCTCTCCTACTGCTGTCCTTTACAGAGGTGATGAAATTAAGTAACAAATTCTCCTTCCCCAGAGGGATTCAAGTTAGAGTAGATTGAAGTAGATTGATTCTGTGTTGGTGTAGTAACAGAATGGGTAAGACTTTGACCTGAAAGAACCCATCGGCCTGGGAGGGCATATGTCATTTAAAAGGGTTTACCTGGGGACACAGCGATTAACTTGGGTCCCAATCCTTGGCTTTGAGCCAGCTTGGCCTCTGCTGCTCCTGACTAACAATCAAAAACACTGCAAGGACCCAGCGCTGACGTGGGTTAGTCTGAAGATACCCAGATTGAATTTCATATATCTGGGACCAGGCCTAGCTTGCCTCAGGGACTGTGACTTTCCAGATAGGTACTGCCCTTTGGATACTCTTGACACCAACACCCTAACTTCCTGTGGCCATTATAGTCCCAGCTCTGCCCTGTGCCCACTGGCCTTGAATACCAAGTTCCTCCCCACCCTTTCCTATAGAGCTCTTTCCCCAATGAAATTCTGCTTACCTTTCAGGTCTTAGATTTTTTGCTTGTTTGTTCGTTTGGTGTTTTTAGACAGGGTTTCTCTGTAGCTTTGGAGCTGTCCTGGAACTAGCTCTTGTAGACCAGGCTGGCCTCGAACTTACAGAGAGCTGCCTGCCTCTGCCTCCCTAGTGCTGGGATTAAAGGCATGCGTGACCACCGCCCAACTCAGGTCTCGGGTTTAAAGACTCCTTTAGTCCCCAAGACAAAGTCAGATCTCTATTATATTACCTCCATTTCTTTTTTAATTACCAACTTTAAAAACCATTTTATTATGATAAAATAAATATAGCCTAACAGTTAACATTTTTGCCATTTGAAGTGTATATTTTTGAACTGGATATTTTTTCCTTTCTTTTCTTTTACCACGTTAAAAAAATTATTTGTGTGTTTGAGGGGGGTGTGAATGTTGGGGGTCAGAGGGCAACTTGCAGTAGTTGGTTCTCTTGGGTTCTGGGGATTGAACTCAAATTGTTAGGCTTGGTGGCAGGCAACTCTTCTGGCTAAGCCATCTCACCAGCCTCCCCCCCACCACATGCATGCATGCATGCACACATACACATATGCACACACACACGCATGTACAAAAACAGACGTACACATGTACACACATGCACACACACGCACACACATGCACGCATGCACATACAAAAGCAAATGCACACATGTACACACAGACATACACATGCACACATGCACGCATGCACACACACAAACACACATACACACACACACCAACATTTTTCTCCACACATTTTAAAATTCCTTTTTGATACCTATCATTAAACTGTAAGTTTAATGACTCATGGCATAATTATTTATTAATGTTTGCCTTCTTGGCTGGTGTGTAAACTCCTTAAGGCAGAGGCTTGCTTTGTAGTCTATGACATTCTCTTGTGTTTAGTGCAATTCCTGGAGATCTGACAATAAGTACTGTTGAGTTATGAATGGGTATATTATAGAACCGAGGAAAACGATTGAGATATCAAAGCACGAGGAAAAGAAAGAGCAGCCACACTTCTGTACTATGCGAAGTGGGCAGTGGGAGTCGGGAGAATCTCCAGAACTGGAAGGCTCTGTGTGTTCCCGATGCCAAGGACACTTGTGCCTTTGGTAACATTTCCCTGTGGTTGTTCCTCTTAGGCCATCATGCCGCTGAGATGGATTGACCCCTCCCTGCCACCATTGGCAAGCTTTATCTGTGAGGACAGCATTTCTTGCCTAGCTTGCTGCAGCGTCCTGGATTGTCTTCCATCACGGGCTCTCGGGGGTGGGAGGTGTTCTTCTCCATACCTGGCTTCTGTCTGACAGAGCTAAGACAGTAGCTGGCCGCTCAGGGTGAGTGTGTGCAGTTTAGAGCCAGCAATCCTATGGGCCAATTTTCTGCTTCGCTTCCCCTAGCTACCTCACATTCAGTCCCTTTGTGGCCACCACCAGATCCACTCCTTACTTCCCATAGACTGCCAACTGCCACCAGTGGTTCTGGAGTCTTGGAAGGATGAAGGGATGCAGCCACCTGTTTCCTCCTCCTCTCTGGCTGGCTGCCCTAGGCCTGCCCATCACAAGTAGAACACATCAGACTCTCTAGACCATGAGTTAGCCTGGCCCAGCCTGGTGGTCTGATGGCCACTTCTGCACAGACACACTACCCCTGCTACCACCCTTGGACCATAGCCTTTCAAACCTGAGACCAGTTGTCCCCTTCTCAAGGACTTTCTTCTATTGGAGGGTTTCTCCCAGACCTGCGACTTGATTTGACTGAGACCTAAGGGCTTGGGGCATGCTCAGTAAAGCATGTAGATGGCATACTCTACAGCCTCAGTCTCGAGAGGTATACCAGTTGTAGGCACCCCTTGGCTGCCTGATGCCTGTTCCTCCACCGCCAGCCAAGCCCTCTACAGTGTAAGGGAGGAAAGAGGAAACAAGGGTCTCTCAACTTGTGGGAGGTTTCTGGAACCACCCTTACCGCAGGAGCAGCTGTCCCTGGCCACACATGGAGCTTTGGTGACTCCAGTAAGGGACCAATGGTCTTTCCTCATAGCTACACTGCAAGGCTGCTGGAGTACCTTCGCCGGCCCTGCCAGACAGATGGGGAAACTGGGGCTCAGAGAGGATATGTCTTGCCTTGAGTCGCAGAGTAAGTCAGGAGTAGAGCCTGACCAGAGTCTAAGCCATGAGTTTTGCAGCCTGCTGCCGAGACACCCTGGCCACTGCCCTGGGTTTTGTGTGTCTGTGGTGTGTGAGCCTGCAGCCCTGAAGACGTCGTCAAACACAATCAAGGTCAAGGGAAGTCAGGCCGTTCGTCTTCAATTGCACAGAGGGAGACACTAAAACTCAGAGAGGTTCAACAACTTACCCCAAGTTGCTCAGTGAGAAAGTGGTGGAGCTGGCACTCCAACCCTGGCTTCCAGTCCTTGTCTGTCTGCAAGCCCTGAGCCTATGTTCGCTCCCATAACAGAGTCCTTCCCTGCCAAGGCTGGAGATGGTCCCTGGGTTTGATCACCTCAGTATTATCAGTGAAGCAGACCCAGGGCCTATCAGCTTAGGTGCCCAGCTTTCTCCCTAGTGGCCAAGTCCCTGTCAATATGGACCTGACATACAGACTTCAGCAAAAACTGGGGCTACTGACCCTACTCACCCTTCATTTAGTGGGACAGGGGACTTTGAAAACCAACAGACACTGTTCTTCATTTTCAAGGTCTGACTTTCTCAGGCATCTATGAGCATCACTTGGGATGGTGTACTAGCCCCTGTGCTCATGAGAGATGGTACCCAGAGACTCCAGGACCTAGGCCTTTCTGTGCCAACAGCCCATGTCCAAGGCCACAACTGTTCCCCTATACTTGCATTCCCCTACAGGGGGAAGGGATACTGCTTGTGGGTGACGAATTTGTTCCAAGGACCTTAAGGGACAGGTTAACACATCCTCCCACCCACCCCCCCTTTCTTTCTGCACAGCCCTTATGGGGACAGTGGCCATGTTCTTGGAACTCAAATCCTTGCAGGTTCTGCACTTTACTACCAAGGGCTCAGACCTTGGCACTTAGCCTTGAGCTACCCTGTATACAATCCGACCACTTAGCACACTGCTGGGCCTGAGCCCTTGTCTTCCACTATTCTGTGTTCTGCCTATTTCTTTCTTTCATGGGGCATAGATGCAGTTCTTCCAAATCAGTGGCTTAGGACAACTTCAGCCACTGGTCATGTACTGACAAAAAGGGCCAGGGACTTGCCAAGGTCATCTAGCAGGCTGGGGCTGGGATCATGGGCCCTTCCCTGAACTTATCAGTCATTGACCCCCATATGCTATGTGCCACTTATTCCACCAACCCCGGGAGACAGAGGGACATGCCTGTTGACTGAAACCTTTTTTTAATGGCAGTGTAACTCATTCCTCAATCAAACCTCTATGGCCACCAGAAAAACAGACACATTAAATGGCATTCCAAAGGACAAGTGTCCCTAACCCATTTTTTTTTTTTTCCCATCACAGCAATCAGGTAAAGAAATCAAGGCTCAGAAAGACAAGTCGCTTGCCCGGGTCCTATAACACAAGGAACTCGGCCGGGCCTCAAGCTCCATGTGCTGAGACCTGACTTGGACTCACCTGGTTTGGGAGTTGTTTTGGGTGGTCTCCAAGGCACCTTGCTGCTGAGCATCTCTACTGTCGGGCATGTTGGAGTCCCTGGTCAGGCAGCACAGTATCCTGCTTCGGAACTGCGTGGCATCTGCTGTGGGCATTCACCAAAGACAGCGCTGTTCAGCGTCAGTCTCCCACAGTGAGAGATTGGCCTTGAGTGGGGCAGTGGGGGCGGGCATGGGGCAGGAGTAGGCGGCGCCTGGATTGACCCAGAGGGCCCCATTTCCTCTCTATTTTCAGAAGCTCGGAATGTCCCTAGGCAGTGAAGTTGCTCAGGACGAAAACTTTCCTTTTCTTCCTGGTTTCGCTGTACTCAAGATGAGGAGAATTTCAATGAAGCCGGACTTCATTTTTATGCAAATCGACCCTGGTTCTCCCAGAAGGTCTAGCCAATGGGCTCAGGATTTCTAGGCCCCCAGAAAACCTCCTCACTGTCTTTAAAGGGACACTTTGGAGCAAATGGGGGTTCCCAGCACAAAGCCAGACCCTGAACCGGAGATGGCTGCTAGTCCCGATGGCCATTCTGCAGCCTCAGCCTCAACAGATGAATGCAACCCAAGTGGGTTTGCCGGGAGTCCCCTGGCCCCAGACCCATACTCGACACTGCAGGAAAGCCCGCAGCTCCTGCTTTCAAGGAGTACAGTATTGGGGGAGGGCAACGGGAGGAACGACTTCATAGTGCATAGAAGCATCTGCACTAAAGCAGGCATGAGAGAGAACCCCCAAATGGGGCCATTCAGGGACACCTAAACACAAGCAAGGATTTGCCCCTTCAGTTAAAGGAGGAAAAGCTAGTTGGCAGGCAGCCAAGAACAGAGGCAGAAAATACACAAGGCAGGCATTTCTCTGAATACCAGAAAGCTTCCTCTAAGGTGAACTGTATATTTATTCCTACAGCTGATATAACAAAAAACCTGTAATCCAGATAGCTTAGAGCAGTAGAAATGCATTCTCTCCTAGTTCAGGAGGTCGGGGCCTGAAATGCAGATGTGAAAGGGCCACACTCCCTCCAAAGCTCACAGGAAGACTGTTTACCTCTGTGCTAGTTTCTGGAGGTCACCGCCCCTGCTCATCTTCCTTGGCTTTGAGATGCAGCATCTGTAACCCCTCACTTTCCCAGAGCTGTCTTCCCATCTCCGTCTATATCTCTTTCCGTATAAGAGCACCAACCAACAGACGAGGGCCCATCACAATCCTATCCAAGTTCATCTTAGCAGATTACACCTGCTTATACCCCATTTCCAAGGAAGCCCCCCTCTCTGAAGCTCTGGCTGGACATTAATTTGACAAAGACAAAGTTTAACTCAGTGCAGATTGTATACAGGAGGTGTCGGCAGGCATTCCTGTTGTTACTGGGGGAAATCAGGGCTCCCTTTGTGGGTCTGTAGTCTGGTAAGAGAATTTAGGAACAGACATAGAAAAAAAAAAGCTTGAGAAAAATTTTCTTAAAATTTGAGAGTAAAACAACATGGCAGGTGGTACATGGAACCTCTTTCATAAGAATAAGTGATCCGGGTGAGGCTTGGCTCTACAGATAATAAAGGCTACAAGGTTATCAACATATCCACTCCCAGCCTTCTGGATAGAAAACAGGAATACACATTCCTCTCGTTGAAGAGAAAAGCCTGTGTGTTTAACAGTTCTGAATTCTTTATTGCTAATCTGTGAGCCCATGGAACTGGTGCCTTCTACAGGCTCTTGTGTCCTGAGACAAAAGATTGCACCAGGGACATGTGGCTAGAAATAGCCTTAGAAGCCATATACTAAGAAAAAACAAACAAACAAACAAAAAAACTAAGAGGCACACACCTTTAATCTCAGCACTCAGGAGGCAGAGGCAGGATGATCTCTGTGAATTCAAGGCCATCCTGGTCTACAGATGAGTTCCAGGACAGGCAAGACTCCACAGAGAAACCCTGTCTCAAAAAGTCAAAGAGGAAGAAAGAGGAGGAGAAGGAGAAGAAGAGGAGGAGGAGGAGAAGAAGGAAAAGAGTAAGAGTGGGCTAGTGAGCTGAAAGGGGAAGCTCCAAAAGCATTGGACCAGAAGGAATAGCCTTCATAATACATTTACATAGCACCCAACTTCTTCATGTTTGTGTATCATGGTTTTTTTTTTGGTGTGTGTGTGTGTGTATGTGTGCATGTTTTATTAGATGAAGCCCGGGTATTTCCCTGTCAACTAGTTTTCTTCATATTGTAACCTTGGTGTAGCTTTCTCTGGTCTCTACTCTGCTGTCACACTAAGAAATGTCCCTAAGAAGATCATTGAGCCTGCTAGTCATAGGTGATGCTATCCTAACTGAGGAAGTCAGGTGACTAAGGAACATTGGACTGTCCCCAAACAATTCAGGACATGGACCACATTCACCCAAAGCTTCTTCCATAGTATAGTTGAGGGTACGTTGGGCAGGAGGCCCAAGTCTTTAACTCTGACCTGGTCCCTGTGTCTCCCTGGGCCTCAGTTTGAACTATTTAGATCATAAGGTGATAGTCTGGAGGCTGGCCATCAATGACTGCCAGCTCCAAATGGGGAGAGCTTTGGCAGGGGGCTGATTGGCTGTGCTGAGGGGAGGGGTGATGTCATCGCCAGTAATATCATTGTGCCCCCATTATGAGGGAACTGAACTATAAGGGAGAAGATAAGGGATTGTTGTTCAAGATGAAAGTTGGGAAAGGCTAGAGAGACATGTGACCTGGGGAAGGGTAGCGGACCTGAGTGGATCTGGAAAAGAAAAGTTATTGCCTAGGTCAGTGAAACCTAAGGGTAGAGGGACCCTGGGAAGTGATAAGGCCCTAAAATGCCCAGTAAAGGCCACAGACGAACACCAGAGGCAACAGGGCCAGTCAGCCCTGTGTCCCAGAGAAGGCAGTGGCTTGTATCTTAGCCCCTGTGAGGGGAGGGTTGGTGGCCTGCCAACAGAAGCTGATAACTGGCTCTCAGAGTCACCTGGGGACAAAGGATAAATGTCTCCACACAAAGTCCATGCTGGGACACAGGGAGTAGGAGAGGCTGCTCTAGCCGTCGGAAAATGGCAATTTAGTTTCTTCTTGCAAAATAAATACAGCCCCCATGGTGGTTATTCTGTCTGGTCCCTCCGTCTACTTCCCTGGCTGCTGCCCAAGAGGAGGAGGGCTCATCCTGGGAGTCTCCACCAGTGTCCTCTGGTCTCTGGGTAAACTAGGCCAATTCGGGGTAGCGGCAGCAGAAGGGACGGCGGTCTGAAGAGTGTGTGTGTTGTTAGTGGCGTATGAAGCTGTGCCTGTGGGTGTGTTTGCAGAAGTGGAGGGGTTTGAGAGGGCCAGGGGGTATCTGGTGTCTTCTATTTCTTTCTGCCGTATTCCTCTGAGACCTAAAGCTCACTGATGCAGCTAGGCTGGTTGGCCAGCAAGTCCCAAACACTCTCTCCTTTCTGCTCTGCCCCCACATTACTGGGGTTACAGGATAGGCTTTTTCATGAGGTCTCGGGATTTGAACTCAGGACCTCATGCTTGTGCAGCAAGCACCCTTGCCCACTTAGTTGTTTCCTCAGGCCTGCATTTGGAATTTTGATATCTCTCCCTCCCTCTCTGTCTCTCTCCCTCCCTTCCTCCCTCCCTCCCTCCCTCCCTGTGGCTACTCTTTTGGCAGCAGAGAAATCCTTGTCCTTGTAGCTAGCTACAACTCTCACTGTGTGTGCAGCTCCTCCCTGGCTCCGGGTAGGAGAGAAGTCTCCCAACCATAGGCCTTCATAGAGATCCACATCTGAACCACAGGGACCGTTTGTCGGTACAGAAACTTGAGCTCAACTCATGGGTCTTCTACTTAGGAACTGAGTGATCCTGACCAAGGTGTTCCATCTCTCCTAGTCTAAGCTGCCGCTACGAAGGTGGGCTAGTACCACCATGTCGTGAAACTGTAGGTGAGGAATGAGTTGAGTGATTGGGAAGATGTCAGTGGGAAAGATGCTCTGAGGTTCTGTGTGCTGTGATTCATTTAAAAATGCCCCGAAGAAAAGCCACACCATGCAACAAGGCTCACATGGGAGGTTTGTTAGAAGAGCAGAGAGAAGGAACAGAGAGGTGGGCAGAGATTTGTTCCTGGGGATTAGAGTGGCAGAAGAGAAAGAGGGGTGGGGGAAGAGACAGGAGATGGGCAAGGCCCACCTTTTAAAAGGGAATGAAGCAAACATGCACAGAGGATACTCTTAGGGTTGCAGCTGGGGACATATTCTGTAAGGACCCCAAGGACAGGCCAGTACAGATGCCTGAATACTAACACTGTGGCACACATAAAATAAAATAAATATTAAATTACACCAAAAAACTAAAAAAAAAACTTAACTAAGCTGAGTTCTTATTTTTGGTTTAAAAATCTTGCTTGACAGTTGTTATTCTAAAAGTTGTCATTCTAAAAGTTGTCATTCTAAAAGTTGTCATTCTAAAAGTTGTCATTCTAAAAGGAGCAGCAAGTGGACAACAGACCGTGGACCACTTCCCCTTTTAAAATATTTATTTTTATTTTATGTGTATGAGTGTTTGTCTGCATGCTAGAAGTATATGGATCTCCTGAATGCAGTGTCTGCAGAGGCTAGAAAAGGGCATCAGATTTCTGGAACTGGATTTACGGATGGTTTCGTGCCACCGTGTGAGTGCTAGGAGCTGAACTGCTAGGAGCCAGTGCTCTTAGCTGCTGGACCGTCGACATGTCTTCTGCGAGTGACCTACACTGTATGACTACAGTTCTTTGTGTGTATGAGTTAACCCCAAAAGCCTCTCAGTAAAAAAAAAAAAAAAGAAAAGAAATCAAAGCAAAGGTTTCCTTCTAAAGTCCAGTTTCTGTAAATGAGTTCTCTGTGGTTCTCACCACCTACTTTTTGGTTCCTTTACCCTCCCTACTAGATCACACGTTGGGTTATTTTATCTGTGAAGTGTTTCTAAATGTTGCCATGATTGTGTGTCTTGAATTCTTACTCAGTGTGTTTATGATTTAGGATTCCAGTAGAGATCACAAGGCAACTGACCAATTTTGCAAGTATTCATTTTACAAAGTACATGAAGATGGTCACTTAATCAACACCATCATCTGGCTATTGCTATAGAAGAAAGTACTATAAATTTTTCTTTTTCTTTCTTTTTTTTTTGGTCTTTGTAAACATCTTTAAATGCAGGTTAAAAATTGAGCATAATTCACCCTTTCAAAAACTTAGAATGT